AAATATTCATAAGTCTGTAAAACAAATCTCTCTCAGCTCAATATGTAATGTAAGTGTTAGTTTTAATTTCCCTGTTCAACAATATAACAGTTATATAACTATCAAGTTATACAACAGTTATATTGTTGAGTGAGAAATTATAACAATTATGTTACATATTAGTTAGTGTTTACTGGGTTGAATCAATAATTTAAAATATGAGTAAGAATAAAATAATATAAAATTCTAGAAGTCATAAAATAGAAGATCAAAATGAATCTATTATTCAATTATTGGTCAAAAAGTTGTCAAATTCTTTGTATGCATATGAGATAATTACCATTTAAATGAAATTAAAATAGATGTAATCAAGTCTTTGCAATCAAAGCTAGAATAAACAAAATCCTAACAAAATGAAAAATTTGGGATCAGGAATAAGTAAAGTGGAAAATAAAATCTATGTCATCTTACAGACCTATAAAATCATTATATCAAAGATTCTGTTGAATTAAACTTGCAAAAAATTGTTAATTCCTCGTCATAAAAATTGTTGTTAATCGCTGCAAGTTTTCTCTGATTTATCGCGATCACGCGAGTTTTTTACTGATCGTCTATCAGCGAGTTAGTTGTGTTATCCACGACACGACGTCCTAATTTCTCGCGCGTAGGCGTTTCCGTCGTCGCGTTATTGATTCGAATGCGCAAAACACTGAGTGGCGTTCTCAGAATCGCGGACATCGTTCGTCGCGTGAGAAAAGTGCTTCTGGCTATCCTATATTCCTATATTCATAGGAGTCTGACGTGGTCGTTTTAGGTCTGGAGAAAAAGCTGCACTGCCAGGTGAAGCCCGGAAGACATGGTCGGACCCAACGTTTCCTTGTGACTAACCGTTCCGGAGGGTGGAACGATCGCCGCGCAAGGGGCATCCTTCAGAACGCCTTCCGAACACGAGCGTACAAATACAGAACTCGCGACGCTGTGCAAGGTAAAAATGTATTAAAAATGAAGGAAAATATAGCTCTTTTCTCTTTTATCAAGCATTTAAAATTTACTGTAAAAATAATTAAATTAAAAGTGAAGCAAGAAGATAGAAATAAAGCAGAAAATGAAAATAAATAATGTTATTGTATTGTTTATATTATTCAGCCTGCAATATTTTTTTTTGTGTAATTTTTAGACTACAATCTTTACTTCTTGTAAAATTTAATTCTCGTAGCCTCGTGTATTCTTACAGGTGTATCCTGTGAGCCCTGTAGCAGGGCCTGGTGCAGCACGATCCGTATGGGAACTAAGCCCAGATCCCGACATGGTCGGGCATCTACCGAACAATCCGATATCCGGTCACCAGAATCATGGTTCAGGCAAAGACACACGACAGAGAAATCGTCCTGACGACAATATTTATGCGGACGAGGCCACCACCGGTCAAAGTCCCACTGATGAGACCAAACAAATTTTCGAATTGCTCAGAGCTGGGTGAGAGTTTTAAAAAGAAAGTAAAGTCGTATAAAATAAAAAAATTACTTAAAAACTCGATGAAAGAATAATGAAAGAATGCAAAGGAAACTTTATATTTCAGTGAAATCGAAGCAGTGGAGGAACTAGTTGAGAAGAACGGATTGAGTTTGCTCAGTGCGAGAGATGAATGGGGATATACACCTGCCCATTGGGCTGCCTTAGATGGCAATATTGAAGTTAGTTTCCAGAGACATGTTGCAATCAAAATCGTCATATCTTAAAATTATTCAAATACATTAGAAAATGTAAAATTTTTTTCAAATAGGTCATGAGGTATTTGATCGAACGAAGCGGACCCGTCGATTTACCATGTCTTGGCACGCAAGGACCTAGGCCGATACACTGGGCCTGTCGGAAAGGCCATAGTGCAATAGTACAATTATTATTGAAGGTATACCGAAAAGTTCCAAAAAATGCGAATAAAACATTTCTTGCATCTATTATCGCAATATTTTCACATTTCACTGCTTTTTTTTTCAGGCGGGAGTGGCAGTCAATGCAGCAGACTTTAAAGGCTTGACACCTCTGATGACGGCCTGTATGTTTGGCAAATTTGCGACAGCTGCCTTCCTGTTAGGATCCGGCGCGCAGGGACACTTGACGGATATAAACGGTGATACCGCGTTGCACTGGGCTGCCTACAAAGGACACGCCGAGCTCATCAAGTTGCTGATGTATAGCGGAGTGGATCTACAGAAACCTGATTATTTCGGCTCGACACCGCTGCACCTGGCCTGCCTGTCTGGCAATGTTAGTTGCGTTCGGATCCTCTGCGAAAAGAGTAAGATCGAACTTGAACCTCGCGACAAGAACGGCAAGACGCCGTTACAGTTGGCAAAGAGTCATCGCCACTCGGAAATTGTGCGTATCTTGCAGGCGGAACAGAAACGCCGTGCCAGATGGATACCACCCATCAACGAATTATGGTTCGTACTTATTTTTTTTTTTTAAATAAAAATATCTCGCAATAAAATGCGTGGAATTCGCATATTTATTTTCAAGGGCGTTGTTATTTGGTGGAGCGGGCAACAGTAAAGGACCGTTGCTATTGTTTATGATATCCGTACTGTTATGGGGATACCCGATGTACCTGTTAAAGTGCATTCCATTAACGTGGAACCTCTTACGAGGTAGTCATTATTGTTTTATTTACTGGAACATCCTCATGTGGATCTCATGGATTGTAGCTAATAGAAGGGACCCCGGTTATGTGCCGCAGAACAGTGATACTTATTACAGGGCGATAAAACAGGTATTAAACGCAATTCTTATAAAATAATCATAATCAATTTCAATGTTCTGTGTTGTTCCAGATTCCATACTTTGACAAATGGAAAAAGCGGAATGTCTTATTATCGCGATTGTGTCATAGTTGTAGATGTTTCAGGCCTCTACGAGCTAAACACTGCAGAATCTGCAACAGATGTGTTACATATTTTGACCATCACTGTCCATTTATATACAACTGCGTTGGCCTAAGAAACAGGTACAATCAATATCAATTATACTTACACACATGTATATATATTATTGTATGAATTAGTTTTTAAATAAAATAAAACTTTCCCGCTTATTTACAGAATGTGGTTCTTCCTGTTCGTTATGTGCGTGGCGATAAATTGCTCTTTCACGTTATATTTTGCGTGTTACTGCATCGCAATTGAAGGAATTCAACTCTTGTATGTTCTCGGTGTATTGGAAGCTCTCGTTTTTTGCGGACTTGGCTGGATTCTGACGTGTACCTCGGTAGATATTACATATTTACATTTTTCTATCATATTTTTAATATATGAACTTTCAATAACCATTTTTTTTTAAGGTCCTACACGCATGTATGAATTTGACTACCAACGAAATGTTCAATTATAAAAGGTACTCATATTTGAGGGACAAGAGAGGCAAATACTTGAATCCCTTCAGTCGAGGGCCAGTGCTTAATTTCATTGAATTTTTCCTCTGCCCACCGGATCATCAAACAAATGATCTTCAACATTATCATATTCTTTCGGAGGATGTCATATAAGATTTATAAGAAATGTCACATAAGATTATAAAAACAAATGAATCTTTTCGAATTATCTATTTTATGCACTTTCTCGCACAGAAAAGCGCGATCACCAGGTGTACAATGATATATTATTTTTTCAAATTATATACGTGTACATTTGCACATAAAACAATATATTATTACCATTTACAAATTATCAAATTTCATTTAGTTTATATCGCGCGACATCTTGCTGCCAGGACACAAACTTGCAAATATGTAGTAAAAAATTTTATAAGTTAATTTCAATAAATACCTTGTAAAATTGAATTTTACAATTTATTAAATGTATTATATTGTACAGTCACATAGAGATTAATATAAATACTGATAGTACGACAGATACGAAAAAAATCTCTTATTATATAAAATATATATTACGACACTCTTATATTATTAAAAGATAATTAAATTATTATAAAAAGATTGTTAACATAATTATGATGAAGGGTCATCTTTATATATGATTTTCATTTTTGTATAAATAATTTCTTAAATACATAAAAAAAACTACACATATATAAAATTTAAAATGCTTCTTTGGTAAGATGTACTACTGTTTTCTATATGATTAAAATGCACAATAGAAAATTACGATTTAGATAGAAAAATTTCCATCTATGTTAATAACATATGTAAAAGATGAGAAAAAATATAAAAAAAACGATATTTCTCGTTTATAGAAAAATATCAATGTTTTGAGGATCGGCAGAAGAGATTATAGAGATCTCTTAGATGAATTCCTGTTCACCTATATTACAGTTAAAATATTGAGAAATTTGCAATGTAATTGTAATATTTATAATTAGGAGAATTACTGTAGATCTTTATAGAGCGATTTAAAAAAAAAATCAAAAATGAATAATTTATTTGACATGTAACTAGATTTGCACTATAAAATACAGATTTTTATTTATTGAAAATTTTTAAGAATCAAATTGAAAAATCCAGCTTTGTAGCAACCTATGTAGCTTCATGATAAATACGTAAAAAAAGTCTTAAAAATATTATTTTTACGAGATGAAATGTAAGTAAATTCAAATAAGTACCTACAGATAAGAAATAATTATTTATAATATTATAATTATTTAAATTGCAAAATCTGGCATTGTAGCAAACTTCATAGTTTTATAACAAACACATAAAAAAAGTTTTATATTAAAATATTGTTTTCACGAGATGAAATATAGTTGAACTCAATTATCTGTATCTGTACAGATAATTATATATAAGTAAAGAATAAATAATCTTATTAGCCCATTACTCCTGCCGATCCTTAATAAAAAATTATTAATGTAAACTATATAGATAGATACAACTCACAAATTTACTTTAATTCATAACAAAAATCATAATTTGGCGGCGGTTCAGGAATCACGGGTGGATCCTGTGGAATATCAATTCCTTCAGCATCTAAAAGTCTTAATTTAATGTCCATGGAGAGTAAAGTCTCTAAATCATTTTCAGCCTCCTTACTAGTCATTCTATTTCCTGAAAAGAAGTAAAAAGCAAGTAAAAAATTATTTCATAAATTATTCATAATTATTTCATTATATTTATAAATGTAAGCAGAATTGCGACGCACCGAGTAAAGCATTAATGCCGTCAGTCCAATAATCGAAAACTTGTTCGTCAGGAGCAACGAAATCGAGACTAGATACTTCAACAGAGTCCAAGGCTAAAGAAAATGCCAATTGGTGCGTAGTTTTTCGCCTCTGCAAATCCTTCATGTGCGGACAATCTCTGCCAGTTAGTAATCCTCGAATCTCGACTACCGCTAGTTTTGTAGGAAGTTCATCTATCGTTGGCACTGATTTTTCATCGCAGTCTCCGTAATGGAAGACTTTGTGATTTGGCGATAAACGGACGTACCAAAATTTATCCTTAATTCGCTGAAAACGTTAGAATCTTCGTTAGTAATTTTATAATTTATACAAAATATTAAGTATATTTTAAAGTGATATATACTTGTCCTCTAGCGCTGTACTTCATAAACCTGGTACCTTGCACCAAAAATCCTAATCGTTGCTGCTGAATCAGTTCTAAGATTTCAGGTGTGATCTGTTCTCTAAGTTCAACGATTGGTCTTGCATGGCTTTCCCATTCCTCTCTGTTCGTCCTTTCCTGTTGCCAAAGGTTAGTGATCGTCGAATAGGGCAGCTGTTGCAACTTATTTTTGAATTTATCTAATCCTGTAGGCTTGCATAGAAGCGCCCTAGTAATCTGTTCGCGCACGACCGAGAAAACTTTAACGAAATCTTCCGTAGTCGCTCGCATTTCCTTCCATGTTTTATTTAACAAAACTATGCAAACACAGTAAAACTCTTCAAAGGGATGATCGTGTGTAAAAAACATTGGGTGATAAGATTGACCTTGTTCGCTAGGTGCCTCGCCAATACGTAATACCTAATTAAACCAATATTTATTAATTTTATATATCATATGCACTAGTTTATATATATATCCGAATCTTTAAAAATCTTTAAAAATATATCTTACCTCGCAGAGCAATTTAACGAGTTCTACGCTTGTTCTGCCGAAAGGACATTCATGCTCGTCCGCTCTGCACGAATTCTCGAGAACAACTTTTGTGTAAGCTTCAGTATGATTTCGAGCAAAGTACACCATACAGTCCAGCGCAAGCATACCGGGTGGAGTCTCGGTAAAGTCAAGAGCAGGATTGATGTCATACTTGAAGCCCAATTTCTTATAATCTTTAGCGAAAAGTCCCTGTTTGCGAGCAGTCACATCCCCACTATTCGCACCTTCAGTGTCAAAGGCGATTCTTCGAAGTTCCTTGATTTTGTCATGTGCATCTTGATCCTGTGGATCCATCTTCGTCATCATTCGTTGTTCCAAAAGACTCAATATTAACGTCTGCAGAACGTAGAGTTGATGTGCCATTTCTGCTCCAACCTAAAAATAAGATATTTTTAGAAAAAAAAACAATAAACAAATGTGTATATATACATATATTAATCAGAAAGAACATTTTAATATATAATTATATTAGAGAATCAAAAAATATCAAGATGTTTCTATTTTCACATTTGACATTCATCAAAAGAAAATAAATAAAATTTCAACACAAAACAAATGTACATTTTGACGGTAAGTATTATACACAACAGACAAATCAATCATCTCAATCTATAAAGTTTATTGAAGTTAAATAGATTATTTCAAATATATTTAAATGACTCATTTTTCGATTATGAAAAAGATATAGAGGCATAACTCTAAAAGCATAACTCTACTAAAAAATCTTTAATAATTATTTATTTAATTATACCTGTCCAGTAGATTGTATGACATTTGTCAAGAACACATTTCTGACTTGTTTAGATTGTAATGTGGCAGAAACCGCTCGTCTTTTATATAAATCAGCTTTCAGAAACAGCGCGTTTATTAAAGCTATTGCGTTTTGTTGAATTTGTGGATTCATGCACTGCAAATGCATTACAAGATTAGGAAAAGTGACTTCCTTCTCAACTTGTCCATATTTCCCTGTTGAATTCAGGACTATATTCTCTAAAATACTCAGAGAAGCTTCCACTATACTGGTGTCTTGAGTTACCGACTGATTATTCACATAACTTGCTACTTTATTGATAAATGGTGTTTCCAAGATATCCCATGACACAATTCCATGATCCATCAATTCCACAAATGATTGGAGAGAATATGCTAGAGTATTTCCCTTATATTTTCCACCTTCTACCTATAATAATACAATTGCTATAAAAATTGCTATAAAAAGTTATATAAAAAATTATCATATACAAAATAATTTTAATACCTGTGAAATGATTAACGCCAATCCTTTCTTGTTTATAAATTCTAATGCAAAAGTCATGTCTATGCTAAGCGTGCTCAGTTTCTGCAGAGCTGCTACTTTTTCTTCTACCGTCCCATTATTCAGCTTGGCCAAAATATCACTCGCCGTTTTTGAGGGTGAAAACTCTAATCTGAGAATACTACCATTCTTCACTTCGTTTCTGTTTTTCTCCGTAATATAATTCTGATTATTATTTTCCGAAAATTGTAAGGAATATGATTCTGCATCAGATAAACCCCAACCATTGCACAATTCCTAAAATATTAGTATAGAATGTCAACATATATTCTATTAAATTTTATTCTATTTTTATCTAATGAGATTAAAGTGATGGAATACAAAATTGATTGTACTTGAATAATTCCGGCTAGAGGTTGCTTCTGATTGAACTCGATGAGCTGCGGCACCTGATCGGTCATTTGGACGGCAATTTTCACGATATTTGAATCCTTCTGAACCGGCATTTTGATCGCTTGCGTGTACATAAAAGAGATAAGAACGAAATATCGTATGACGAGACGCTCCGTGCTCGTGTTCCGTGCACGTCGAGTTTGTTTACAATCCGCTTGCAAATTTTGACGTTCCCGACAGTGATGCAACTATAACGGTCACGTGACCGCAAGATTAGATCAGGCGAGTCCATTTCCGTCCGTCACCGGAAATGCGGTGCGTGACGCGCGATAGAGTCATCAATTAAATTCAATTTAACTTTCAGATTCTCTTCAAAATTAAATTGAAATGAACTATATATATATAAAACTGGAACTAATTAACAAATAAAAATAATTGAAAAAGATGTCCATTTCAATTATTAATATTTTACTTATGTTTTTCTCTTAGAATTTGATATATAATTAAAAATCATATCACACGTTAGTATTTTTTCCAACATTTTACAATACATATACGTACCTTTCGTTTCTCTTTGATTTACATAAAACTTCATCATTTGTGTATACCGATTTATAAAGTTGCAGTCGAGCTCTCAGGACAAGAATAAATGAAAGTATTTACTTTTCGTATTTACTTTTACATAAAATGAGGCAATTGAAACCGAAACGAGAGAATGAAGGGCAATTTTCTGGTGTAAGTAAAACAATGCGTGGGTTTCGATTAAAGATATATTTTCTGTCACCCTAAAAAAACACGAGGAACAACACAAATGTGGATGATCATTCAGTTCTTGAGTAGGGATAAAGATTCCCGTTTTTCCACAGTGAGATCAATCTTTCACAGGACAATAGCTTAGCATTATCATTCGCAAGATATGGCAGATGATTCGAAAAAGTGCCCGTTTTCTTTTCAGCTCGTATTATGTATCGTTCTTAGTATCAGCAACGTCATCTCGAAAAGTAAAAGTGATTTAAAGGAATGTTTAAAGTTACCCTTTGATTGAATCGTGTGCTGTGAGACAGTGAAATAATAAAAATGTTCAATCAAATTCAATTATTTCAAGGAAATGTGCGAAGCAACCCTGAATTTGCCATCCAGTTGATTCCACAACATTCAACTTATTTTTTTACAAATACGACATTTATGGTTCAAAGGATGCGGGAAAATTTTTAAGGTTAGAGAAAACTTCAAATTTATAAAATAATAACTTTAATTCTGCTCCTCTTCAAAAGTAAAGAAACAAAATAGTAAAAAAATAACTTTCCTAGAATATGAATCTCAAATTCATTTTCTTGCGGAGAACGTGGAAAGAAATGTACGAATGTATATAAAAATGTGGTTTTAGCTTACTTTAAGCTTCCAGGTCAATGATGAAACTCGGGAATAACGCAAATTGGAAATACGCATTACATATGACAACAGAATATTCCAAGTTTCGCGTAGAACCACTCTTGGCCTATTACGAGTCAGTTTGTAAGTGATTGCAATACGAGGTTAAACATCCAACAGGATTCCCAATTAGTTGGGATTGAAATGAATCATGCATCTCCAATAGTTTTTGCATCTAGAATGTCTCAAATTAATTTCACGAATGTATATTCAAGAATTGCATCGGTTACTTCGTTGTGCTCTAGAATTCTGTACCTTAAGAGGCCATTTGTTTGTAATGCTCATGCATCATCACAATCTCGACAGTTCTGTTATATTAAATTCTTGCTTCGAACCCAGACCTTTGTTCGTGAAAATGTCGAATTCTTCTCTAGTCGCGAGAACGTCGCGGACATCGTTCAAGGTGATAACTTTGGGACATCTGTAAAATAGCACAAATTAGATGCAAGATAGATTATTGTTTATCATATAATAAAGGAGCAAACAAATATAATTACTCATTTTCGCCGTTTCTTTCCCAAGCTTTTGCCAATGACGATCGGGTAAGATCCTCTACGAAACATTCGATAACCTGGCCACAATTATGATAATGATAATACAATTTTTATTTTATATTTTATATTCTAGCAATAATTGGCATAAAAAATAATTCTTACTCGCATTATTACACGACTAGCTGCACAATATAGAACACCAGGAACAATCTCCTCTGGTCCGATCTTGATGCCGATGTCTCGCGCAGTATTGCATATGAAATTATGGAACGGCAACAGATCTTCGTCAAGTTCAACCGGTATTAACGCAGAACTGGTCGAACAATCATTATTCTGTTCGTATTTTCTCCGATCGATTGTGATTCTACGTGGACTTTCTCTGATATTTTCGACATCAATCTCTTCATCTTCGGTAGATATATCTTTTGATTGATTAGACTGCCATAATTGCAACCACTCTTGTGACGCGATCGGTTCCGTGCATGTGGACAGAATTGCGGTGGGTGGCGTAATATTGGGTAGCTTCTTTGTGTCACTCGTACCAACTGTTTCCTGAGTGTCGAAGGTGCTTCGAGGTCGATTCGGCGTGTAGCCGTGAAATCTCGCCCATAGCATGATTTCCTTGATGCTCCACAGTTGATCATCCGGAATTAGTTTCGCACGTAGAAATCTTCTAATCATCTTTGCGCGATACCATTCCATGGCACATTGCTTACCGATATTATATGCCAAGTACTCGTCCTCGGTGCAACACGCATAAGAATGCAATCGTCTGTACTCGGGATCACGAGCATTTTGTGTGACGATCGGCAATCGGCGTGCGATAAATCGTATCAATGCCTCTACGTCAGTGATATTCGTATCGTTGATTGACTGAAGGACTGCTTCATACAGCTCCCTCTTACTCTGTATCTTGAACTTGTCCTTGCCCAGAGTGATTTTTGGTCGCTGCATTGTCTTGTCCTCTGATTTCCGGCACGATGCAACCTCCTCCTTGCCAGTTGAAGTGCCGCTTGTCGCCTCGGCAAATCTGTAATTGTCTGCTATTTTCAGAATTGGCACATTTTCATTAACATTTAACAATAAACTATTAGTAGTATTCAGTTTGAGTACAGCAGTCTTCTTATTATTGTTGACTGTATCTTCCTGCTGTGCATCTGCTTTGATGTTAAGCGACTTCTTCAGAATGCTCACACCTTGAGGAACGCGAATGTTTAGTTTCGCAACGTTACCGTCTCGCGGAACAGAAACTTTTGCATCACTATCAAGGAGCATTTTCGAGTTTTCGTTGGATTTGGATGAGAGAACATTCGAGAAATTCACCGATATCGATTTCTTATCCTTTAATAAAAGTACACGCTTATTAGTCGACGACGAGAATATATTCGATGACGGTATGGAGATTTGCAAAGGTTTTAAATGCGAATTGCAATTCGAGGAATTCGCGATTCCCTGTAAACGATCGAGCAAGACATTGGATTTACGAAAGCCATTAGTCATCGATACATCTTTGATCGAGATATTCTCCGAAATTCTGGAGGTATTCTTGTTCTTTGAATTTTTCGTCTGTAAGGATTTATCTACATCGGTCAGTGATAGATCTTTTTGTTTATTGTACTCATGGAATGTTTCGTTCATTAATGAATTATCTATTTTTGCGTTTGGAGATACCAAAGGCTGGCAGTTACTGGAAGACTGGATATCGCCGTTAAATCGATATGAGGTAATCATTGTTTCGGATTGTTCTTTGTTATCGTCGACTGTTGGCGAATTGATCACAGACATCGTGCATTCATTTTCCGGAAAGTGTTCCACAGTCATGTTTCCTTCTCTTATAGTACAATGACGAGAATTAAAATACTGTCTGCTAAAATAGTTATGATCGTGCTCGATGTAATGGTTCATTGGTTCATTATTTTTATCATTGAATATATCATTAGACTCAACTTTGACTCTGATAGGTTTCGAATTCTCAATTAAATCTAATGATGAATTAAAGCTTTCATGTATTTTTAAATCAGATTCCTCCTTTATTTGAATTTTCTCCATAGTGTTCGCGGTAAATTCTAAGGTTTTCGCCAATTTTGTTTTATCATTCGGTTCTACTTTTACGAAAGTATTATTAACGGAAGACTCAACGGATTTGTTGCTATTATTTTGCTCTGGATTATAGAATTCCCTCGTATAAATCCATAAATCAACTAGAGTTTCCGAGCCCAGAGTTTGCAGGCCTGTATAAGTGCAATCTAGTTTTAAATGATGAATTATATCTACAGGCTTATTCAAGGCATTTTTAAAGTGCAATTGGACTCTAAGAGGGAACTCGCCCCATCCTCGTCTGGACAGATGAAATGGATACGATGTGACTTCGACGACATCGTTTGGACGGTAACTGGGATGCAAAAAAAACCTCACCTTACTGACAAAAGTACTAATATCGGCATTCTCGTCTTTGTCGCCACGCACATACATCGTCCACTTGTGACTGGACGGATCTTCCCGCCAATCCGGTGGAATCCATCTAGAGATATTGCCAACAATGATACGTTTGCGAACTTTATTGCTATTTCCGCGAGACGGACTCGTCTTCTCCGGCACACTGCTCTTTGGTGGTACATAACGAGGTATCTTTCGAGGTTGCGACTCTTCGTCCAGCAATTTTCGTTTTTCACCTTGTTGCACATTATTGCATTTATTTGTGTTTTCTTCAATTTTAATCGTACTATCCGTCGTATTTGCATCCGATTCGACAGATTTGTCATTGCATAAAAATCGAGGATCAGTAGACGTTGATGGCACCGCAAGATCTGAAGAATCAAAGGATTTGGGACACTTTCCGAGTAACGTTTTAATAGCAGGATGAATCCTCGTCTGTTTTGATGTCTCTGTAGCTTGAGGAATTTGGCACTGCTTGCGATTATAAAAGTTGGTGATTATGATGTAGCGTAAAAAATGGAAAATCTTTAGTGTTTTGTGTAATCTTTCTTGTATCTGCAAAATTTCCTTCTCTTTCAAATCAATTTCCCGTGAGAATTCCTTCTCCACTATCGCAGTTATTTTTTTTGCAGTAATGTTCCTTGCTGAAAAGAAAAAGAAAAATATACACATAATGCCATGACATACCACATTTAAAAATTTTCAAAATTTTCTATTTTATATTTGGTTGTTAAACTTTTTCATTTATTTATATCTCTTAAAAAAATTAATATTAATAGAAATATTACCATTTTCTTCGTAAACTTTCTGCTGAAGTTCATCACTGGAGATTGTGGTGATGTAATCAGGATCATTTAACAATTCTTCAAGAGTACTCATTTATCGTACTTATACTCTATTCAAGGATTTGAGTCATTTCAACATGCATGTATGCAGTATTTGTACCTAGTTAGAATTTGAGATTAGACATTTATTGTAACATTTAAAAACACTACACAACATTTATAAGACATAATCTCGCAATTTTTCCCTGTGGAAACTCATAAAATTTCCATAGAAACTTTACTAAATACTTCTACTTTAATAAATATACACGAAAATAATGAATGATTTTTTTATTTTGCTTATGTTACCAAGTGGTGACTTTGAATATACCTGCCCTATTTTTTCAGGATATAACTACAGAACTACTCAACCTCTTATATTCCTTTAGTCAAAATTTCTTTTCATTTTTTAATCAAGACTTATGTTCTGACTTTTAGGATTTTTTTTATAAACTTCCATAGTGAAACCTTTAAAGATTGCGAAATTATACCTCGTAAAAATGTAGAGTGCGAAACGGATTTTAAATCTATTATCCGGTCAATCCAGATATTAAGCCATGCATTACCTCGAATTTCAATGAGTTGTTTTAAGAGGTTAGAGTGCCGTGGTTATACTCGTGTTATCCCGTTACCGATAATAATATCATAAGCGAATTAAAAAAAGATACCGGTATACATTCACGAAGATCAGATAACAAATGTTCGTTGAAATATCAAAATTAATATTGATAAAATGCGAATTACATCTGACACGTTACACTCCGATCACACTTGACACGAAACGTTGAGCGTGTATCGCACCATATTGGCTATGACTAATATTTTAATTGTCAAAACGACAAATTTTTTGAACTTGTTGATTGGTTACAAAATAGAGAATTCTGGAGCCTGAAAACATCACTAACAATAGCCAATCAGAAACGTCTAAAAATAATCGTACTACGAATGAGATATTAGCCTATCACTGCAGAATCACGTGATAATCGGTGACGGAACAGCGCCAATTTAAATCTATGGTCATTTACTCCAGGAAGTCAGTTGTGTATCTTGAAACGAGATAAAAATTGTAAAAATAAGAAAATTTACTGGTTTTGATATATAGAATTCAGGATGCTCTAATGAATTTCTTCATTTTTATAATTTTCATCTTGCTTCAAAATATACAATTGATCCCAGATTAATTAATCTTTATATTATTGGGGACATGTTATAGAATTCTGTGGAATAAATCCCGATTGGAATTATTTTTTAATATTTTTTAAAGAAATACAATAAAAGTCTAGAAACTAATTGAATAATTTCGATCGAATAGTATTCAGTAATATTCATAATTTGATTTTTTTAAAGCGTTTTTTAGCAGAGACACAATATAATACAGTGAATCAAATTTGTCTTATAAAAAAAAAATAAAATAATAAATATTAGATAAATATATTAAAATGATAAATATAAGATCTATGAATACCATCCTAGGAAACTCGGGATTAGTATATATTTTAATGCATATAAATTGACATTAAAAAATTAATTATAAAAGTTTTTATTAAATATTTGCAAAAATTCCATATAAATCGAACTAATGACGAGGGATGTATTATTTTGTCGTCATTTAGTTTTGCTATTATTCCTTTATTACACTGTACTATCTATAACACTTGAACAATTGTGCGAAGAGGAAACTGGATATTATTTATCAAAGTATGCAAGACATCACAAACTGTAATTATAAAATTTTGTAAACTACAGCGAATTTCAAAAGCGGCACTTATCAATGATTTAATCATCTTTGACGCAAGTATGCTTACATCTCGTTTATGTGATTCGAGAACTTTGAACCATTCAGTTTCGTTTCTGTTTGACACACGTTCCTTTAGCTGATCGCCAAACTCTGTCAAATCTTAAAATACACCCCGATAACCAAACCTGAAAGGACAGATTATGCGCAAAGTCTGTTATAAATTTCTGCTGTTAAGAACCCAACAGATCGCTAACAGATTCTGTAATATCTGACAATGTTAGCAAACTGCTGCCAGAAACCTGACAGAATCTATTGACATTCTGTGCCAGCAAATTGGCAGCAGAAATCGAGCAGGATCTGCTGACACAGAATGTCAACAGGTTCTGTCAACAGAATGTAAGCAGAATGAGACTTCAGATGAAGTCAGCCTACTAACATTTTCTGACTGGGCATTTTGCAGACTGCGTAATATAACTTCGTATGTCGTATGTCGTATGTCGTATGTCGTATGTCGTATAGTCCGTTAAATAAAACCTAAAAAATAATAAAACAAGATAAGAACGGCTACGCAATAAGAACGGTTACGCGATAAGAACGGTTAAAAATTTGACCAGATATAGAAAATAATTTTGTTGGATTATCAAAATAATAATAATTTGAATTAAATATTACCGTAACATTTTTTCAGAGATTTCATCAAGATATTTGGAAATAATAACAATAAAAGCTTAAAATCATTGGAAACAATTGATGCGAGATAGCTAGAAAGTACATGTACGAAAGATTAATTTAAATGAGAATGAGCGCTTCATTTTCAAACAGTATGTAACTGATCTCTGAACGAAACGTATCAACTCTCTTAGGTTCGTGCGTTCCTTTCGAATGAATAAATTCTCTTTTATTCTTTGCGATTATTAGAATAGTGCAAATATGAATCGAATGCTGCCGCAAACATTTCTGCTTTTATTAAATTTATTTGTGTCCATAGGACAATCCGAGCTTCGTTTAGAATTGGTTCAAGTGGTAAGAAAGCAGATTCAAATATGCAACATTAATACTATTAGTAGTCGATTTGTATAATTAAAACGCGTATAATAAAAACCACATTTTGGTAGATGGGATGTCATAAAATCGAAAGGAGTTCTTTTTCCTAAATCATTAAAGGGAAATTATAATTTGCTTTATCTTCCTTTTTTACGAACAATTAAATATTAAATTAAGTATATTATTCCCCATATGTTACAATAATTTAATGTAATGTCAAACATTGTAGATAATGAGACATGGAGAACGGACGCCATTATTTAAAGAATTGTATCCCAAGGATCCATACAATGTGTCAATTTATGAGCCATGGGGACTTTCCCAATTAACTAATGTAAATATATATTAAAAATATATATTATATAGCACATTGATCAATATGTAAATATAATATTAATTTTATAGAAACCAGTATTTCTTATATTCTCCGATATTTTGTAATTTGCAATATATCTTACATATATCTTTCATATCGATAACGTATCGTTCAGATTCTGCTTGGTAAACTTGTTACTTCTACTTGATATGCCAAAATATTATTGCATAAATATTATTTATACTTAAATTTAAGAAAGTTATTTAACACGTGTATATATATATATATATATACACACACACACACACACACACACACACACACACACACACACACACACACACATATACGCGCGCGCGCGCGCGCGTACGTACACACATATACGCACAAAATAAACATTTTAATCTATATATTAATCAACAAAAAAATCATTAAAACACTTATTCTATGTATTTAATTATCCTATAATACTTACATTATTTTATAAATATATTTAATATTACAAACATTTTTCTATTTTTCTATATGTTAAGACTCTAACGAATCGTGCTAATGAATTATAAATTGCAATATATTGCTATTGATGAACTATATAAAGAATGAAAAATAAATTTGTTAACTCGTATCTTTTAGCAAGGAAAACTGACGGAATATCGTATTGGCATAATGTTGAGACAACGTTACGATAACTTTTTGGGGTCAATCTATTACTCACGAGATATCTACGCTGTCAGCACGGATTATGATCGTACAAAAATGTCTTTGCAATTGATGTTGGCAGGATTATATCCTCCAGATACGTCACAATTGTGGAATCCGAATTTACCGTGGCTCGCCATTCCTACACATTATGTACCTAAAAGAGTAGATATATTACTTAAACCTCACTATTGTCCAGTGTTAGTACTTTAATCTTCATTCATAATGTTTGTGATTAAAAAACGTAGCTTTATACATTTTTTGCTGTAGCTATATTACACTTTATAGAATAGTTATTTTTTTTAATTATAAAATAATACAGATGTAAATTTTTTTATGTAATTTATTGTAACATTTTCTAATTAGAATTTTCTAATTAGATACAAGAAAGCTTTAGCGAAAGTATGGAAAACGAAAGAAGTCCATGATAAACTCGCAGCTTACGAGGATCTTTTCAAATTTTTGAATGAAAAGACTGGAGTAATTTTCGAAGAAATGTTATCTATCTATGGTATATTAACAGTACAGGTTAAGCAGACATTTAAATAAATTTTTAATTATGTGGAAAAATATTTGCCATACACATTCAATATAAAATTACATTATTTTTTATTTCAGTCTTTTATAAAATTTATAATTAACAAAATATTTAATTGTCTATAATGTGTATAATATGCATATAGATAATATATAAAGAGACCTGATAACTAATGACTTGATCGTACAATCGGCTTTTTTTTGTTTACTTCAGAAAATCATGAATTTAACTCTGCCAGAATGGTGTACTGATGATGTGTATTCGCAAATACAAAGTATGGTCGAGCTGGAGTACGAAATCTTTTCGTACACAACCCAGTTGAAGCGATTGAATGGTGGTATGTTGATCAAGAAGTTCATTGACAACATAAATGGAAGTAATAAAGGTTTAAATCCGCGCAAGATGTACGTGTATAGTGCCCATGATATGAACATCGCGGCGTTTGCTAAAGCTCAGAATATTAGCGAGCCGAAAATACCGGATTATGGATCGACATTCCTATTCGAGAAACTGCGAGACAATACCGGCAAAGTCTTTATCAGAGTAATTATTACATACACTTGTCCATAATAATCTCAACAAAATTAAATTATGTAATCAGATTAATCAAATTATATTTATCTATTAATAATCGTTCGTCTTTTGTCGATAGATTTTTCTGTGGACAGGTACCACAGAAAAATTAATGTCCATCAAATTGACAGATTGCGACGAAATTTGCCCTCTGGAAACTTATTTAGAACTCATGCGAGATGTAATACCTTCGGATGAAGAGACAACTTGCTTGTGGGACAATCTAACCAGAGAAGAACAGTTAGCACTTTTTAATGAAGAGCTACGTGTAATATAACAAAATTTTGTAAAACTGAATAAAATAGATATTCTATATATTTTCATACATAAATAAAGCTTACGTAAATAAAAGCTTAGAAGGTAATTGAAAGGAATAGAAATATGAATGAATGTATCAAATTATTAATTAAAAATTATATATTTAAGTTTTATGTGTTTTACGTATTTACATTTACATTAGCATCATTACTGCCATTTTTATTTATCGCTGATCTTACGATTAGATTGTACATTGTACCTTCCATAGAAACAAGATATGGTATATTTGCATAATCCCGAAGTCTGCCTTTTTATCGCAAATCAGTTCCTTGTCAGATGGGATTCAAGTCTTGAGTTAAATCCAAAAATTTATCGAAAGGGCAATATAATTCGCAACCTTGGATGTTAAGTTCGTCGATGATTGATGGAATACCCCGATAACTCAAAAGCTGAAAAATTATTATGACATAAAATATTAATGAAGATGTATTACAAATCTGTGATATTTCTTTATTAATAAATAATTCTTTTGTATAAAGATATTTTTCAAACAGTCTTAACTATTACTTTTACATAGAATTAAAATTAATAATAACATTTTATGTACGTATATTGAAAGCTTTTATTTTATACATCTCATCCACTTTTTAAAATAAAATCGCTTTTTTTTGTTTGGTTATTATGTCAAAAATGTTTTTACCTTATCATACGTACATACCTTTACATAATACT